GCCTACAAAGAATTGGAATCGGATGCTCCCGTTTGGTTCTGTAAAAGACTTTGGGATATTGACTAGGTAGTGAGCGCTTATCAACATGGTTCCCTTCCAGACCGATCTCGTGAAACGTGCTAGTTGACTTCTTTGAATTTCCTCAGTCCCCTATGTAATGCATAATTCTCGGTAGTTCTTTTTTGACTTTAGCAAAACCCTTGATAAAGCGTCAAATGGGACTCAGTAAAATCCGAAGTCTCAGGCATTTGTGGAGTTCCAATCGGTTTAGTTAAGTCATGCCTATCTAACCAAAAAAGCAGTGTCCTAGTATGTTCCTCATTTCCAAATGCGACTGCTATTATGAGTGGCAGTCAAGTCACTGTGCTAGCCCCCTTTTGTACTTACATTTTATCAATAATATCCCGTTAGCGGTTACACATACGCAGTCCTTTCTTTATGCTAATAGTCGTTGCTGAACCACTTATCGGAAATGGAAATACCTGAACTGAGGCCTGAAGTTCCTACTGGTAGGTATTGCATCGAAGAAAGTTATTAGTGGGCGTAGTTGCTGCAGAAGTACGACGGGGAAATGTATTCTGGCGGATTTGCAAGAAGTCTGCCTGGAGACGCAAATGCCGCTGTCGACTATGAAAGCAGTGCTTGCTATGCTTCGCCCTTACCATCCACAAGTACCGAAGGGCCCATGAACGCTGTTGAGAACCCCAGGAACTTGCAGCAACAAGGTTCTTTAAGACGGAGTTACGATGAAGTTCAAACCGCAGAATCTTCGCCTATGGACTGTAACATACGCCACGAACCCTGATGCCTACTCAGAACTGAGGACATTCCATCAAAGCAGGAGGTTAAGGAAGAATCCCATCTCAGTCCGCTTGACTCAACGTCCCGGTGTACTTGTTAGGAAATATAATGCTTTGAGGTCACCCACATCAATCCACTCCAACAACGGATTTTCGACTTTCCCGTTTCTGATTAATCGTAGGAACGCAAACCACTGAGCCGTGCTGTGAATACCTATACCCTATTTGAGTCTTATTAATTGAAATTAGTCAAATCCCCATTTCAAGCTCAGGAAATGTACTCGGAACTGGCAATTGCCTAGTGTCAAATTATGAATTCGACGAGAACTCATATCTGATGGTCATTAAAACGCATCACTTGTTGGGCTGGACGGTGATTCCCAGTCGATGGCAAAATAACGTCTTCAACCCTGGTGTGTGATTTCGTTTCCAATTCTAGTAGTTGTGTAATCAAGCAACTTACGATTTGAGCCTTCCCTGGGATCAGGTCAAATATCGTCAGCATCTTCGCTGCTCGTGCATTAGTTCAGAATTTCATTAGTCTTGGGATATGTCTTTCAATTCTCGATGTTTTTTTCGTCCGATAATTCCTAGACGTGCTTGACCCCAATGTATCTTTCGGGTTCCTATAGGAATAGCGATCACAGTTCTGATGGTTCATTGGGAGCGGAGGCGAATAGGAATATCGCAACGAACGAAGTCACCACATAGGCTCTAAAGTGGGGGTGGGGAGAGGTCTTCGTCATATACGACTAACAGTCAACCCGTTGCAGTTACAATTGACTGATCTTTTGTAAGTAGTTTGATGATACCCACTTTAGGGTGGGGAAGAAGTGTTCTAGGCAGAAGTAGTGATTTATTGATCCGCAGTTATAGAGGTGTGAGAAATCCAAGTCAAGACCCTCGACACCAAGACAATGTACGAGAAGCATATTGCGTATAAGGGCCCACTACGACGAGCTTCCTAATAAGAGGCTAGTGGGAAAAAAGGAAAGCCCCTGTCCCGGGTGTACAGAAACCTGAGAGCAAGTGGGCGACAGTTGTGCCAACGCGGTACCTTTGCATCAAACGTGAAATCTGAGGACGATGTGAGCACTCGTTGGCACAGTCAGTCCTACGACTGAAGGGCGCCAAATGAGGCAAAGGATGCGTAGCCTAAACTGCCAGTGCACACGAGCAGGTGATAAGCGTGAGGGAATGTTGACGACCGAACCATGCCGGTGCGGGCTCAGAGACTGGGCAAGTTCGAGAAAGAATCACTCACGTGAAAAGAAGGCCACCACATGTTACCTAAGGCGTGAACACCGGTGATTGGTCGGACGCGCTAGCGCGTCCAGGAAGCATTCGCCGGAAGTGACCGAGACTGCAGATCAGACTGATCATCAGGTCTGCACACGATGCATGGCGTGGATGCAGTTCGCAGTACAGGCGAGAGATCATGCAGTGGTGCGCGCCTGCATGCGCAGAAGTATGTGGGGCGAAAGCACACATTCAGGACCTCGACAGCCCTCGTAAGACACCTACAGACCCTACCAAGGACGGTAATTGGCTAAAATTTCCGCTGACTTCGGAAAGGTGGTGCTTGACGATCTGTGCTTCCAGAATATCACGATGCCGCCCGTTCAACGTGAGGTGCCACAGCCTATGGGCGATGAAATGAGGGTTCGCAGTCCCAGATTGTTCAGTTAGGGCACGCCTCCGACCCAAGGAGGAGCTTGGCAACGACGTCACCTCGCCGGCTTCCTACCTCAATCAGTGCCGATGCCACCGCGATGGGCAAACCTGAAGTACTAAGACATGTCATGCTAGACCTGAAAGCGATGTTGGATCTGTCATTATTCGGGCACAGAACGGCAACCGGACAACGATAGAAGGGCATAGGCCGGATTGGTTCGTGATGTGGTGGGCGTTGGAGCCGGCTAAACAAACGCTGGTTTCAACAAAAATATTATCATACAGTAGGTGTGCTAACTCATTAAATGTTAACCGAAATTCTATAATGTGTTTTCGTTCGAAAAGATTGCTTAAGTAGGGTTTTAAAGTTTATCATCGCACAGCAGAATTCTACAATAATTCAGTTACCTCGATATGCGGGCTTTCGAACAAACTCCTTTCTGGCTGCACGTGAAAGCCGCAGTGTAAAAAATAACTGCTTAAGTAGCATGCATTTTGATCAGTGATTTCGGATGTCCTTAAAAATCCAATTATATTTCATAAAAAACTTGCATAAAAATATTCATTCCTTCATTCATTCGGCATAATTCTATAATAATTCTGTTACCTCGAGATGCGGGCTTTCGAAGGAGCTTCTTTCCGGCCGCGTGTAAAAATATACTCTGTAAAAAATGACTACTTACGTAGCATGAGTTTTTCTCCTTGATTTTCGATGCCCTTAAACATTCAATTGTTCCATGGGAGGCATGTGTTAAAATGTTCATTTTTCGCTCATTCGGTAGAAAATGACGTTTTTGTCCAATTTCATACTTGAAGGAGGGGTATGATTCGATTTTTAAAAACATTCCCAGTTCCCAGACAATTTTGAACCCGACTTGCCGTTACACCTGTATTCAGGGTTTCCAAACCACAAGCAGTATATTTTCCGCGTACGGAAACCCATAGATTTCTCCACGGTATTAAGAGGGAAACCATATGGGGTTTATAAAATTTGCCAGTGGATTTGAGCTATCTTGTGGACTTGACAAACAACATTAGTAAATGCAGGGACACGATGTCTTATTAACGGGTATTTCATGGTATTACAAAATCTCATAATTAGAAACTTATTTAAAACCGAGGTATACCGTTCCTTCGAGTATGAATTTGGACGAAAACGTCATTTTCTACCGAATGAGCGAAAAATGAACATTTTAACACATGCTTCCCATGGAACAATTGAATGTTTAAGGGCATCGAAAATCAATGAGAAAAACTCATACTACGTAAGTAGTCATTTTTTACAGGGCATATTTTTACATGCGGCTGGAAAGCTCCTCTGAAAGCCGACATCTCGAGGTAACTGAATTATTATCGAATTATGTCGAATGAGTGAAGGAATAAATATTTTTATGCAAGTTTTTTATGAAATATAATTGGATCTCTAAGGACATCCGAAATCACTGATCGAAATTCATGCTACTTAAGCAGTCATTTTTTACACTGCGACCAGAAAGGAGTTTGTTCGAAAGCCCGAATATCGAGGTAACTGAATTATTGTAGAATTATGCTGCACGATGATTAATTTTAACACCCTACTTGAGTAATCTTTTCGAAACGAAAACGGAGTTCAGAATTTCGGTGAACATTTCATGAGTTAGCACGCCTACTGTACGCAAGTGGAACACTAGATAGAGCGAAAAAATCCACCCCATACAAACACCAACACTGGAGTCGAAGATGGACAACACACGGGTAACACCTAATCAATCACACCTGCAGTGTCTGTGGTCTCACGGTGTTGCATAGTGCATGGAGCTTTTAATGTCACAGCTACGAGACCTGGATCCATACACGTTGCTCCTGTGGGCACTGTTATTGCTACACTACCTGTCATAACTTAATTCTTGAACCGGTCCAACCTGCTGTGCAGTCAAAACAAACCAGACCGGAGTAAAGGCAAGCTGCAAGGTGTCATAAATGAAGTTGGTAAATAGACAGGTCAAATCACGAAGCGGTTTCGAGATGTTTACTTTATCACAGTAAAATATAGCAGTCAACAAGCTCGACAAGATATTCTTATAAGGTTGAAGCCAGGGTATACAGAAAAGACCGGTTCCAAGTGCATAAGGATGTAGGAAAAGTAGAAACAAAAATAACAAGTCAACATCCAGGCCTAAGAGAATTGAAACAGGATCTCAATAGAACGCGAGACGATATCATCTGAGACGGACTTGACCTGAGTGATTCCCAAGCGATCCGAAAGAGACACAGCTAAAAGGTGTGCGCACTAGGTGAGGTGAATAAGAGAAAACGGTGTCTCAAACCCAAAACTCCTCAGTATCGGATGCGGGCTGATCAACATCGCGGAGACAGGAGCAGAAAAGGGCCGGCCAACTACACAGGTAAGTGTGCAGTGAAGACTTTCCAGAAACCTTTCAGAAAAGGCAAAAGTCGCAGTAGAGAGGAGGTTACCTACCTTGTAGATCGACCTCCCTGTTTCTGATACCTCCTTAATGACCGCTTTTTGTTCCACGTAATTTAGAGCCATAAATAAAATATGGCCAAACGCGCCGTAAAGTCTGCATGCGATAAAAGTGAAATTCCCGAAGACGATTTACTTGAGCAGCAGCTCATCCGACACTGCAAGAGCAAACTGAGAATTCGCATTAGAATGTACCTTCACTCGGGCCCATTTCGGAGAGAACACCTGTGGACAGAAGCTTGGGCACCAGGGAGTAGTATTTCGGTGATCGCATGGGAAGCACAGCTGGTGCTGTTCTAAAAAAAGGAGGCAAGGGGTCGGTGAAACAGTCAGGAGACCTTTGAGATTGACCTCTTTTTTGTACCCAAATCCTCTTTATTCCTTACTTCGGTTCTTCTGGCGGTCCAACCAACTTTCCGCACAGTTACAGACACCAAGAACACTTTGCTGTTTTCTTCAAATATCAAAAAGTGGCAAATCAAAGCCACTTCTCTGGTTTCACCTTACGTACTTCGGAGTTCGTCCAATTTTCCAGTGTAGTTAACCGTTGTCCACTTAGGCAGCTATTTCGCAGAGTTTGACGTAATGCGCTCAGAGATTGGGGAGTGATGACATGATTGGTAGGCGCAATGCCCTGATGCAAAATTACTAAGAGTCAACTTAGGATCATATTCGGGTCTAAAAAACATCATCTAGCACAACCATTCAGGGTCAATTCAGGGAAGCCTTTTCATGCCGTCCATGACAGAGATGTTAACCGATGACTACTTGTCACTAGGTGACAGTTGCGATGAGCCCTAGATGGAGAACTTAACAATGAGACAAAATGTGTATTTTCGCCTTGGAATCAGGACCGACGGACTAAAGTTATTGCCAGGTGGTCGCCTATACTCGAACTCGGCCGATTGTGTCGAATTTGTCACGTGCGGTAACGCAGTGGACACGACCCCAATCCCTAGGGGGTATTGTCGGTTGAAAACGGCTATGAGCGAGAAGTAGTTGTTATAGTGTCCATTTTAAAAAATGACATAATTGCTGAAACTTAAGGGGTTGGTTTGAAATCTAACAATACGAAAGCACAATAATCGGTAGGCAGCACCCGTTCTCAAGGGGAGCGAGAGGATGGGAGGGATCGAATGCAGATCGCTTCTGTGAAATTATTTGAGTAGTGGACAGCTTTTGCTGCCTCGTTGATACTTTCTGTCAAATGGGAAGGATAAATAATAGATCGACCAACGGGAATGCACGACCTTTAGCCATGCCGACACTATTGGAATCAGCCAGCTATCATTCAGAAGAGAGCACGTAACTTTGTTAGAATAATGGCGTGGGACAAGGGCCATGCACTCAAAAGTATACTTGTACTTGATACGGCTGCGATCATGCATGATCTAGCCGGCCTCGATGATGTCACGAACTGTACCCCTCCACGCGTGACGATCCGCGGCAGCAGATCTGCACAGCCGAACCCATTCCCTTCGCCAGCGACGGAGACCGAATACCGAAGGTCCAAGAACCACCTTCATGTCTTGATGAACTGTGTCGAGCCAGGTTTTGAACTGACCCCCTCTTCGACGCCTCCAATGGGGCAACGGTGCCGGATCTAGGGCAGTAACACTGAGCTCCTGAGGTGGACGACGAAGAACATGCCCGAACCACCTCAGTTGTCTTTCTTGGACGGTCTGAGTTATCCTTGCGATGTTGCAGCGGGTGGGGGCTGTCTCATTTGAGACGAAGTCGGTGTGCTTCATGTGAAGGATGGTCCTAGAGCAGTGGTGGTCAAATACCTCCAGTTTTCGCTCATCCTCCACGCGCAAAGCCCAGCATTCACAACCGTAGAGAAGGACAGGTCGGACAGATGCACAGTACACGCGAATCTTGGTGCCGATGGAGAGGTCACGTCGGTTCCATAGGCATTTCCGAAGGCTTGAGAAAACCCAGCGGGCAGCATCGATTCGGGAGACAATGTCGTCCTTACTCCGTCCATTAGGCAGTGGCCTCGCCCCAAGGTATTTAAAACTGCCTACTTCTTCAAGTTGACAACCATCAATCCCGAGGGGTGCCTTTTCCTAGTCGGTCGTTCGGTCGATTATGCGGACCTATCCATCTCATTATGCCTACAGATAATGGTATCATAATGTGTTTGGAATACAAACACTCGTGCCCTTTTCTCCAAATGAGGTAATTCGTCTACACCAGGTCATGGCCAGACACAGTGTCAAAGTGGCTGACCGGCGATACGAGTGAACCCGATGAAAGCTGGCATTGAGTGCATTTCCGCCCTGTAGACTTCAGTATGCAGGGCCAGAACGCGAAGTAGATCAACTTTGCACGGTAATAGGCCTTTGACCGGCTGCAATAGAAGACGATCATTCATGACGTGGGGCAACAGGAGCCCTAAAATACGGCCTCTGGGCTACCCGCCAAGCACACAGGTAGCGGGCAACGAAGCGACCTTTAATGAAGACTGGTGAAATATAGGCAGACCTTCGGATCAAAAAGATTATGATGCTGTGGACCATGCAGTGGCACTAACGTCAGGTGTCGTTGAGCACCGATCAGGCAAATCAGTTACCTATAAAAAGGTCATAAAGATAGCTGTTACAATACTGTGACTGTTGACTGCCACAGTTAACGCATGGTCTGAAAAAGTAAACTGCGAGGGACAGTAGACCCCACCAGTAACATGATACTCCGGAATAATCTGCGACAGTCGACATGTCAGGATGTCAATCATTGGCTGCTGCTAAGCATGGTAACTAGTAAGCTAAGACACAGTGAAAATCCATGTTGCATGCAGCGACGAGTCTACTCCTAGTGACCCACACGCACAACACGCACCCCTTCTAATAATGATATGCACATCACTCGTCTGTCCGGTTATTTGAGTCGGATAATAAGACACTCGAAAATGCACCTGTTAGTTTTGTTTTCTAATGATAAGGAGCTGCTGAACCCACTGACTACATTCTTATCGGTAGGCGCTTGGTTCCCACAACAGCCTACGCTGGCCCAGAGCGTGGGTCATACTAGCTCAGAATACGAGTTTATCGGACTACATGAGTTCAGGCTTACAGTCACGCAAGCGTGCGAGGCGCGTCTTAGACGTAAAATTTTGCGTCCAGTCTCATTTCCCATTTATTATCAGGGTCGGACAGTTGACTGGTGCATGGGAGAGGGAAAAGAGAGAGACCGGCGATGAGGAATCCAGCACCTCGGCATATCAGCGCATTCATCATTATACAAAGGCTGCTACGCTCGAATGTAACGACACACCAAGAATCGCGGTTTGGAAGTTTGTCAATTGACGGGAATACTCGTTCCCTCTCAGGACAGAGCCAGACTACAATTGTGGCCTCTACGACTCTCACGAAAGTGAGACCCGAACCCCCTTACGAAAGCCTGGTACATTATGTGTGGAATAGGACGCGTGTAATAATCGCAGACGGGTCTTTTAGACTGCGCCTGACTCCATTCCCGGTTGTTTTGACGTTTTTCTACCATTATTACAGGTTAACAATACCGTTTCGGTGGATGTGACCATTACAACCCTTTGAAAACTCCCAATCTTAAAATCCGCATAGGTGCACTGTGATTATGCTAAATTAACGTCATCGCAACGACTAAAATACACCAAACGTGATATTATGGTTATTTTGAATAGCATAAACTCCTGACTGTGTGAGTAAAAGTCCCACTGAGGCGCCGTTTTTCACAATTGGATCCATATGAATTATTCAAAATCTGCCAAAACATCTATGAATAGTATAAACGCTGTTTTAGCAGATCCTGGTGTATACGGCACGGGTTGCGGAGATAAAGTGCAGGTGCGGCCCCGGTGCCACCGGGTTCGGAGGTGGAGCCCCGAATCTTAAAACAAGGGGACGAGCCTCATTGGATGAGGTCCAACATCCGGCATGTCATGAGACCACACTAGTCTGGTGTAATCAGACAATTCGACAAACCGGTGCTCGGTCACACAGCAATAACTGGCTCACTTCTGGTTCGGGTTGCACATTCCCTATTTACTCTCAGGTGTTTGGTATTAACTACACAGATGCTGGCACAATGGATGATTACAAGATCTACAATTATGAGATGGACCCGAGCATCGAAAAGGGTAGTTTATATTTTATGAGCTTTCAGGCTGAATCAGAACCTGAGGCAGTAAGTCAAACAAATAAGTTGAGGAAATGGCTTACGGAAGGACAGTCAATTTAGCCTTACATCCCTATTTCAAAATATGGGTCAAACAAGGTGAATTTGGTGAAACTGTGATCTCATTTGAAATGAACTGGCTTCTACGTCTAGTCCTCCGGAGTCAGCGTGGAACACTATCCAGATGACATCAAAGATATGAAGACACTGATAAAACCCGAAGAGAGAGAAAACAAGATGACTTCTCAGATTTTGGCAAAGAACGATCGTCACATACTCGAGCAGGGTTTGCGAATGGTTGAAGATTCCCGTGGCTACGAAAAAACCGACCTAACTACAAGAACCCTGATAACAATGCACTCGTACATTGTTAAATCCTACTGACATTAGTGCTGGTCCGCGGCCAGTTCTGTGACTGGCTAACTCTTGCTGGTGCCTGTTGGGTTCAATCTGCCCAGCAGCCCGTTCGCACGTGACAATAAGGGGCTAAATAACACACGTATCGCATCGATTTTGCGCTGCGCGTCGAGTTCGAACGAATGTGCTAGTAAGCTGAGCAGGAGCCCCATGTACTTGTACATGGTGCGGTTGAGATCGTGCCTGATCTAGCTGGCCTCGATTGTGCCGCGGACTATACCTTTTCACGTGCGACGATCTGCGACAGCAGATCTGACAGTCCCATGGTTTGATAAAGAGACTTATCGGACGAAGTAAAGTGCGGAGTACCTGAAGCTCCCCCTTCGACGAACGCATTGCTCGCGCGGATTGTGTCGCCTCCGCCAGTCAGATAATCAATCACACACAGCAATAATTAGAGCTACTAGTACATGGTTAGTCACCTGCTAATGCAACGTTACCCCGGAATTGCATTGCGAGCGCCGAGGGTAGAGGTCGTCCTGATGTGGACTTTTTTCGTCTATACGTTAATAAAACCTTCGTAATCGCCAAACACCACTCAACCTACGATCTTCTACAGGCATGGTTCCTACATTTTTATAAAAGATTTAGGTCAGATTAATTCGGGGGAATAAGGACAATATATGGTTATAATTGTCATAGCGGGAATGTTCGACGCCGACAGCGTGGAGCGCGTGGCTATGTTGCACCCTTCTGGTTCTTTTTTGTTATTGCCATCTATCTGCTTATTTTCTTTGCCCTATTGTCATTATGTTTAGGGAGGAGTCCAAGAGAACAAGAAGACGTCGAATTACGCGATATGGCGACGAAATATTGGGAAGAATAGTGCGGCTGTTCGCCAGTAACCTCTTTCCAGTAGGCATATATTGCGGCGATGGGAAACCGTCTAACGTCCACGCTTTCTGTACTTCATTCGTTAAGGAGATACGATGTCTACAGGAAAAGGGACTGCTCATCAAGGACGAAAGACAAGCAGCACGCTGTGTGGTCGAAGCAGTAATCTGTGACTCCCCTGCTAAGGCCTTCATTACTACTCGGCTTCCCGTAAATCCCGTAGGCCGTTCTTGAAGAACGGCTGCGGATTTCTGCGTACTAAACGCCGGACTTGCGGACAGTGAAGTTCGCAGTGAATTGGGAAAGGCGGTCCTATCTGACCTGCCTAGGTGGCCGTTCCCTCGATGACTCCAAAAAAGAGTTTTCTATGCCCTATTCGTGGTTGATATCAATCTCCACATAAACTCCAAAGGACGAAAGATGAGGGAGGGTCTTTTCGATTCGGCGACGTACGAGGTCATCAAGGGTACGTTCTCGATAATTAGTGATCACTGCTCTATCCACAAACGTCTTCGGGAGTTGGAATGGGGACGACAAAGAGACGCTTGTCGAGTTGGAGTCGTCCATTACAAAACGAATTAAACGGTCACTGGACAATGTCAAAAAAAGTGCAAAAGGCTAACAACCTGAATCAAGCGGGCGGTAAGTGTTCCTTCTTTATCAAGTATACACTACTCTTAAATGTAAATCCAATACTGGGATCTTCAACAGGGACCACGTCCACTTCCACAATGAACAGACCCGATATGGACCAACGACAATGTAAATATTAATATAAATGTCTATTTCTTTGTTTTTTTATATACACCTGCCGACTCATACGACTTCAAAGTGTTGTGGGTACTTTCAGCTATTTTATACGTTTGTTATCCAAATTGAGACTACGGTAGATAGTTGGGGAGGACGGGAAGGGGCTACAGAAGCAATATAGGTCGATTTAGCATAAAACAGTAGTACTTCCGTGGGAAAAGGGCCCTTTTCCCACGGAAGTACGCAACCCGGGTTGCGTAAATTTCTATGCGTGCTGCTACCGCCGTTTTTCGAGTGTATCGAAAATTCGATATCTACTTCATATAAGACCGCCGGACAAAAACGCTATCCACTCGATATACATATATCGAAAATATGCTATCTACCCGATATCGAGGCCATATACTATTGCTACAGGGTATCCTGATTCACCAGAGCTCCCGCGACAGAAAATGCTAATGAAGGTAAATTACAAAAACGAATTTTAACATAACATAACTGTGGAAGGGAAAACACATAGAGGTGACACAGTACCTAAGCGATAGCGTATACAACACGAAGGTCCGGCCGGGAATGATGAGAAGTTCAAACTGCGCACCGAAACCCGGAAATTTGCGGTCTCAAGATTGTCAAACTCTACCTGATATTTATAAGATAGCGACTTTTATTCGGTCGCCCTAATAAATCACGAATTCTCTGACAAGTGTACGCAAGTCGTGACCCAAAGAAAGGTCTAAGACGTATTTGACTAAAGTGAGAAAGGTAACTGTTGTAAACTTCAAGGCAATAACGCGAATTTTATGATGTAAATGCACCAAAGTGCACTGGCAATGAAACGACATGGTAAGACAAGCGTTTAAATCGCACTATGAACTCAAATACCAAGAAGAAGCTAGGAGACCAAAGGCAAACATACGGGAAACAAAATCAAAGCAGCTGAAACAAGATTAACCATAGAACCGAAAGCGTGTTTTGGAAAAAGTTCAAATGGATAGGACTTTTAATTTATCTGCGCATATTCCTCGAAAACATAGCTTGGTAGCGGTTAGAATTCGAATTTTAATAGAAGCTTGGCATGGCCCACCATGTGACGCGGCTTATATTCACACGCCGTATACCCCAAATCTTATAGTCATGGGTAGAGGGCACAAACCTAACTCTCATTTGCGCATGTATGAGTCTTATTCCTCACGGAATGTGCACGTCAAATAACCCTGTGTTTAGCTGCAGCCAACTGGAGTCCAGCAAAGTTACAACACGGACTGTGATAAACGGTGTCTGCCACCAATTCTATGTACAAAGGCACTTCTCCGTGGCTCATTAGGCAGCGGAATTCCTTGACACGGAGACAATATTTTTATTTTGATTTAGTTTCCCGTTGTCTTTTCATAGTCAGGAATGGTGTGAAAAGATGATAAGCAGTGAATTCGCCGTCTTTGTGCTCATATGCATATGTTTGATGGCTACGAGCGAAACTCTTGACGGCCATGCTCATTCACTGTAGAGGTTAGTGATACGACTACGCATAGTCAGCATGGAAACACTGCATCGAAAGTGTAGTGATGCGTTATACATGGAGTGAAATCAGGAGGTAACGTTCATGACTTACCCGCAGTGAGAGGCGTCATTTGTCAAAAATCAAACAATCCATCTGCCTTTTGCGCACATTAATAGTATCGGAAATCACTATTTCACTTGTGAGTGAGCTGCACGGTCGAACTACCCACTGATGAAAGAAAACTTCCTTTGGTTTGGGCGCGCCTATTCGCGTTTTATCTTGTGCGGATGACGGCACAGTGAGTAATGGCTGTAAACTTGAGGGAGTGTCCTGGTTTGGGCGAACAGCCATGTCCGCAGATAATGCAAAATGACCGAGCCGGTTGCACGTCTTTTTTATATAGGATAGAGATGACAAATTCCCTTGATCGGTCTTTCTAGATATGGGAGTCATACGACCGTCCACCATTTTTGTTAGCCGTCGTTGTATCTGATTAATGAAGTCACCGTCTTTCTTTTTCCGGGGCATCCATGCGCGTATTCCGTATCTTGTTGAAGGTTTCCATAGTATCACTAGCCGGGCCCGGCCACGAGTTGATGTGGCTCAGGTGAATTTAAAATTTCTGTTGGATAATTAACCAGCCTCGTCCGCTTCCACAACGGTGTCGACGGACATGTATGTGACTGCCTCGTGTTAAATCTTAGACTGAATAATATGGTTAAGGTGGTAGACGTGTTTGTTTTTGGCCGCAAGAATAGCTCGTTCAATCAATCAGTCCTGATTGGTGAAAGTGGTCTTAATAGTGGGAAACACCTTTTCAACCAATTCCTCTTTTGAGGACACTAAATTGCCGAAGCAAAGACGTAGGGAAATCCTTCCCGAAGTCGGATCAGCGGGCATCGTTGCATTCCCAATCGCCAGCAATTACTGTGAGAATACCTCAGCTGATCGGTAGTTTTCCAGCTGGACACGCATATTTGCGGTTAATTTTACCGTCTGCATTTGGCGCCAAAAAGAAGCGTATTTCAGGCAGGCATTTATTTTGTCCGCTGTTGCTGATGGAGGAATTACAGGCACTGTTTGCCTGAAGTCTCCTGAAAGCAGTAGCAGTAGTGTCTCCAAATGGTCTGCTGTTTCCGCGCAAATCTTGCAGCGTTCGATCGAGGGCCTCGAGCGCTTTTTTTGCTCACGGCGCAAATCCAGATCTAACAAAACAACAAAAAACCGGTTGGATGAGGACATTCCGGGTTGACAGGGAACTTTTTTCGCGATTTCTTACGTATATATTCCCAATCACTATTAACGCCTCGCTGTAGATTCCTGCTGTGAAATCCGCATTTGGAATTTTCCTTGCGTAGTCGACGGAAGATATCCTCAGCCATGTGCGATTTCTCCCACAAAACTGTTGGAGATGAAGTAGAGCAGGCGGTCATTATGATTGTAAACAATGAACGAATTCCATGTGGATGGGACGTGTTGCATGCAACACTAATGCATCCATCCCAGTATCGGTAGTTTTCCAATAAATTGAGAGTCTGGCATGCACTGCGGAAAGTGACATGCAGAAGGCCGTTGACAGATTTCAATTGCTGGAAAGACGTTTAACCAACAACATTCACCAAAACCCTGCAGAGTAAGAAGCACTGGTCGTGATTTGGATGCATGCTGTGCTGGCTGCCTATCGCAGTTATTTTGAATATGCCAAGGTGTCCGTCGACTCGCTCTCGCTTGCGTCGTACAAGAGGTTTTCTGCACGCATTCCCTGTGTAATACGTAGACACTTTCGAATACGGCAGTGTTTTTGCAAACGCGTCAGTTCGATTTAACGGGAAGAACACAGTTAATGTGTGTTGCCGGTGACCTTTTGCACATTTGCATCGGTAAAGTAAATGCATTGCCCATTCACTAAGTGTACTGCAAGTGAACAACACCTGGACGTGCTCATGGATGGGAAAAGAAAGAGTCAGCCACACGACTTTGTGACTGTTGACGCATCTTCCAGTCCAATACTGTGCGATGTCACTGAATTCTATGTCCATATCCCTTTACCTCCTTTCGTGTTGCAGGCCAAAAACAGCCATGTCGAGGACTTTGCTTACGTACTTACGAATGTACCAAATTCATTTCCCGGAATTGCAGTTTTCCACGTTTACGTAAACTTTGTTTGCCTTTAAAAGCAAAGGCGAATACGAAACAACCCCACGGTTACCGACTTGTATGTCACCGGTTCGCATGCTTACGATTGCCAAATTGCCGACGTCTTCCCGCTGATCGTTTTCGGTATAAGGGACTTCCGTCGTTACCGGTAACTCTGTTGCATACGAATTCCCGAGGGTATTTCTTAGAGCGTTTTCCGTCTATCATACCGGGAGGTGAAGGTTGAGAGGGGGGAGAATTGGGACTCAGGGCACCGCAAAGTCTATTTATCATATTCATCGCCGCGACTTCGGGCAAATAATTGTCGAAGTCGGCGTCGGGTAATTCAGCGCATATTGCCTCGGCGATTTCTTTGGAGATGATCATGTTATAGAGCCAGCTCCAGACATGTGCGTGGGGCAGTCCCCACCTTTTTCCATTCCCCCTAATACATCCAGCAGCGCACAGGCCCAAACACCTCGTGTTTCACCATGAAGTTCATCAGGGATTTCAGTTTCTTCTTAAAAACACGTGCTGTGATGTCATACCTATTCACCGGCGATAGTTCGGGAAGCAAAAGCTGATAAATATCACCCCAGGCAGGATTGTATGGGAATGTAATGAGTAGGTCTGGACGCCCGTAATGACAAACGTAAGCAATTGCACCTTGAGCGTACTTGAACTTATGACGTGAACTGTATGTGCATGTGGAGGACAAAAGTCGTTAGTCTTACAACGTTAGGTGTATTACCGTCGTTTACGACCGCATCATGCAAAGGAGTATATTCTTCAGAGCGCAGCTTGGTCTGATTCAAGCAAGGGAAAAGCAGACGTTCAGTTTCGATTTTTGCATACATTTCCACAATTCAGTGATTATGCAATTGACGGCATTTCAAAAGAAGGATTAATTACATTCTGTCGAATCATAAGTCGGTAGGAGTAGTGGTTCATTGCTCTGCATTGCATGTGTGTTACCACGTCAATGACTGGATTTTTCATCTTAACGTTGAGGTGATATCCATCGGTACCATCCCGATAAGTAAATGGATGTTGCATTGGAATCGGTCTCCCACTGCCGGTATATGGGGTATCACCTTACCCTAAAATCATTAGTCTTCCAACAGTTGTTGTCGTACCGTCGTTAACAACAGCATCACGCAGCGTGAATGCTGAGCACGGAGACGTGTTGGACGCTGGTCCGCTGTTCCTCGCTGGCGCCATTCAGCCACTCCCAACTGGCTGTGTTCATCCTGTTGTGAACTAAGCAGGCCTGCAGCTGCAGAACGCGGTAGCCTGACCTCAACAGGGCTTCCGCAAACCGAGCTGCACAATACTGAGCTGACATTGGGCGACAGTCCACTTATGTGGGTTGTGCGGGGGGGGAGGGTCTGATGTTTACTGCATCCAGTCCTCACCCCCCAGAATCCCCGAGGCAGCGATGACAGCCCTATTAAATGGGCTGTGGGACAATTTTAAGTGACGTCCGAGTGTTGCATGTTTTTTGCCCCAGGGGTGGTTTGCTCTGGCGGCCCATATTGCATCGGCCCAGAGGGCGGATGAAGGGCATGCTGAAGTGCCTGCAGGGTGGGTGGTGGGGTAGGCGCGGCTGTCGGGCGGAGCAAGTGAGTTTGAGCGAATGTCGGTCAAGTGGCCACAGTCTGGGCGCACATGTGTCCTCACGGATGTAGGTCAAGTGGCCGCAGCAGGTGGCGTTGTTATGCTGGAAAAAATCCGGTATTTTACCCATCACAGGCATACCATCGGCATAATTACAAAATCGAACAGACGTACCCGGCCCTATGCGCTGGCTGTGTTGTGTCCAAATTTCAGCGCAATCGGTGGAGTACTTTCGGAGATTACATATAACACAGAAAAAAACCCTTCCATTTTTATATATATAGATGAATTATACTAAATCACGTGAAAGATGATGCAGACAGCAAAGTGTCAGTTTCCACATTGAGATTTCCGCGGTTCTGCCTATGGTACTGTATTAACGGGTCTCGTTATTACCATAAAACAGACATACTACTCCACTATGGAAGTTTCGATATACTTAGTACGAATGATTGCAGTATTATTGGCATCGAGTTCATACCAGTTTCTGCTGTCGTCGAAAAATTTTGACGCAGCTCCTGTCCTAGCTAAAACGCTGAAAGGTCTTTAATTAATTTGAAATATTAAGGTGACACCAGGAAGAGCCCGCTTCAACAAACGTTCAAAATGCTGTTCATTATTTGATCTGAATATCTACATTTTCCCTAAGCAACTTTGAAGGACGCGGTGCCACTTGTCTTCGGCAATTAAGCTGCAAATGCGGAAAACAGCCCGATTCATTTGTTCTGCGGTTTTAGGTCTTTTCAGATAGACCCTGTACTTCCGAGAGCTCGATTGAAGAATGGTTAAAATAAAGTGACATAAGCGGTCACTCTTAACTTAATACACTAAAGGCAAAATTTTTCACGTACCATATAGACAGAATTAAATGGCGCATGGTTGCCTAACTCGAGACAGCCCAAGACGGCAATCATTTTTATTATTGCAATTGGACAACAATGACTAGTTATTGGAGACCTAACTATGCTCACTCTTATAGCAGTCTTGCCAAAAGCATTTTACGCGAAAAAACAGTCCGATGTTTTTATTTTTATAATACCAATTAAAGCCATGCCCTTCGAATTACGCTTACTCCGGGTTAGATCAAAGCGACGCGCAATGACCATATCCAAAATGAGGCCTCTTAGCCACTCCGACCGGACAGAATATAGTTTTGTCGTTAAGAATTTCATCCGCACCAATTAAGCACCATCATGAGCACTTCCGTTTCCAGTTAGATCGCATTACCTGCCACTCTTGAGAAAACCATGAATGAACCATGCTTCGAAATATGTCTGTCTCACCCTCTAAATTGAATTGCGAGCAACCGACCTCAGGCTGAAATATTTTAAGGTTAACTCTGTTGTTTCCTAAATGGGTTTTCGAACAAATTCCGTATTAGGGCTTCCTGCTCGAACATTTCCTACGGGGTTACTTCTGACGACTATGGCTTCTGCGATAATATCACTAGTATATTACTGTCCATCTTTATTTACGTCTGCTATACCGCGGTTTCATTAAATAAGAACCAGATAACCTCCGATAGAGTTCGGTTTTATTGCGGTTATAGTCACTTCCCAGACAAAAGTATAAACAGCGGTACCAGGGGAAGTGAATAATTGTATAGCCATTGGCCAAGACGGCCAATGAGTACGTATGTATATGCGAGAGCATAAGCACATGGCGTTTCAACCGTCAAATGAGACGATATCCACCATGTGCCTCGTGACAAGGTGGGCAAAGCAAAATGATCTGCGCTTGAACTAGCTTGCAGCGATAACAGACTTACGCAGCATACATCACATTGGCTCCTCTCTTACCTAACTCCATTGAGAAGACGGCGTCAGGGCGACTAAAGGCGGGCTTGGCGAGGTGACGAACAACGTTAAACAATGTGTCTGGGATAGTGCATATGACTCGGTCCCAACAAAAGGGCCGGGTTTTCACATTAAAAAAGGGACGACTTGAATCCCATCTGAGTGTGAGCATCATAGAGGCTACAGTCCGAAGGAATCACTGAGCCTGTCTTGTCGTACTAAAAAAGCCGAGTTACCCAGCCACTTGGTAGCCTTTCCAATCACGATTTTTAGCTTTTTCGTGGATGATTCGATTGTGTCAGAAGTTTTATAGTGATCGGTGCGCTGTGGGTCTGTGGGAATGGACGCCGCAGTGTCGCCCTCACTCTTCCCTCTCTCTTTCACCGATCCGCTGCCCGAGCCCATCGAGCATCTTGTGTTGGGACTTGGCCAAGCTTACTGGCACAGAGCACAGCCTGCGCCTCTGCAGCGCAGTCCAAAAAGGGGCTTGGAGTTTTCTGCATCCGAGAAGTTGAATTGTGAGAAGATAGCTAAATGTAGATTCAGGTGCTGAAGCCAAAGATCCATTAGTTACTGTGTAAATAAAGTTTGTTTTAATACGATAAAGACGATATGGATGTATAACCTCAATTTTATGAGACCGTGTGATATTGTTGTGAGGGATTTAATTCGCCAGATTTTCCGACCACATAACTAATGCAGTTTTCTTTGCAGTCAGCGTTTGGCACTGGTTGGTGCATTATAGCTTTTTTCATGTTGATGGTCAGTCCGAAGTTGGAGTAACAGGAGGTAGGGATGGTCACACTCCACTACATGTTGTTGTGTTTCGCACACAAACATCCGAGAAGTGTAAGTTGTTGGCGCTGGCCTTGAATACCCTCAAAGACGCTTTTATGTAATGAACATTGAATAGTTATCCCTTGGTTGGACAGTCGAAGTCGATCCCCGGTCGCTCCTCAAGTTAGCTGTCCCCTAGCACAGCGAAGAGCACGAAGTCGAATAGGACGAGAGCGAGTATGCACTCATACTTCAATCCATATGCCCCTGTTAATGCCGTCGGGTTTACGTGCCATCATTCCTTTGTGAATTTTTCTTGCCAGTTGTGGAAATCACTCAGAACATATGAATCTCAACATGATTCTTCAGAGTCCATTGTCGTTTACAGTGTTAAAGGTCATCGTTACATTCGAGAATGTGGGTCACATTTCCTAGAATTTACCAGCTCCTGTTGACGTTGCTGCTATCGATGTTGTAGACCATGTGTATCCATTGTGTCTTAGAGAGCAGATTCCGGATTTCCTTGCCACTATAATAAAACAAGTCCTGGCGCTAACAACCTAGGCGGCCAAGGGCTTCCATCACGGCGGTCAGAGTGGTATCCTAGAGTTCCATCTACTGTGTATCCATGTTGGCATTCGTCTCCTGCATTTGATAAGATTTAGTCAATCTTCTGCCGTATCAAGTAAAACAGCACTTAACTTACCCGATGTTGATTAGCAGTGCAGCCGAGTGCGAGGTTGCATAAAGAACCTCATTTGGAGAATAAAGCATGCGAGAAACTCTCACAGGACCGACCCGCCTGGAAAAGAGCAGTAAAGGCTGGAGAGGCAGCATATGGAGCCAGCCAGATGGCTGTTGTCAAGGTCAAAATACCGACTCGCGGGTCTCATATGCCTTCTACTCACAAAGTCCAAACGCAAACCCCTCGAACAAGCGCACGCTGTAACGAACATTTCAATCTGTGATCGGCCCTTTTGGACATCTCTGCACCCAACAACAAAGACCAGACAATTCCGCTTGCTGTCTCAGTAAACGTCTTCATCAGCCCCCCCCGTGCGAG